TATAGTGTTTATTTGGGCATATCATTTTGATTTTTTATTTTATTTTTTTGCAGCTAAGAGTTTGCCATAAGTTATCAACAAAGTTGCAACGAGAAATTGTTTTGGGATCATCCAGCCTTGATGATCCCCCACAATTTATTACGGTAGGGAACTAAGCTGCTCCTGTGTGGACTCATATCTCCTTTATTTGACGGCATATCTGTTCTGATTGAAACAGTTGTGGTACAATAAAATTGAATCTCAGTTGTTACTGGATGCCATTTGGATTATTCGTTTCATAACGACTTGTCAGTGTTAAATTGATTATCATTTCCGTAAACTTTGGGGGATTAATTGATTGCTGAGCCTGTGAACAACCTATACCCTAAGGAGTACCTAGAACTGGACTTTCTCCAAATCCCCCAGCAAAATTCGTACCAACCAGAATCATATAGAACTCAACTTGTCTCATACATTGTAATTTGGAAAGAAACAGCTGTCTTTAAGTTTCTTTTCTCTTTTTTAATAGTTAAGGTGAACTGGCTTATATATTGTGGTTCCCTTTTGGAATAAGTGGAAAAGTGAAGAGGAGCTAAATATGTGAAAGAAACAGAAGCTGAGCAATTAACATTCCTCTTTCCATTGGGTCAAACTTGGTGCATCACTTCTTGATTAGTGTCTCCCATCGCTTTTAGATAAATGCCCAACATTGTTTGAAGCGATGATGTAATGTATATTCAGGTGTACAATTGCATATTTAAGTGTGTGCTTAAATGCTGTGTGCTATGCTCACTTAACCCTTAGAGCAAAGGTGCCATCTAAATTTCTCGTTTCTTGTTGCAGAAGCTAAAGCTGATGACTGCTAATGAACTATCGTTAGACGATCTTCAGATCTAGATTTCTGCTGCTGATATAGCTGGATAAGCAATTTCATGTAAACATGCTTCCCTGCCATTATTATGAATACATACGTTTTTATTTGTTACCTTCCACTATTTACCTCTTTTTCTTGTTTTTGTGTTCAATAATTTTTTTTTTTTTTTTTTCTTCGAATGTGTCACTTTGCCCCTGCTCACATATGCACTTGGGGGCAGTGTATTGTAATCTATTTTACTAACGTTTATGATCAACCCTAGGTGTGTAAATGAATTCTTTGAGATGGTGCAGTACATCTCGTTTAAGGCTACTTTTGGATGTCGTGTATTATACACTACACATGACGAGCATGTTACAGTATAATTTCTCATTCGGTCAAGAGAAAGGGGAGTTGACCAAGTTAGAAGACGGGGCGGCATAGATTAGTTTGCGGAAAACCCTTCTCTTAAATGGTTGAGGAATGACCCATCTTATAGTTCTATGAAAAGAATACCTTACAAGTTTTCTTGTTTATCTTTGTACCTGCACATTTATAGAAGTCATAACTGGAAATTCCCACCCGTGTTTTATTAGCTGTTGCCATTTGTTCTGCTCGTTTCATTGATTTGCTCTGGGGATGTAGGTGTTGAATCACGGTAAGTAAATAAGTAGCTGCGATGTTGCGTGAAGTCACTAGATTAAACGAAATGCATCGCCTATGCATGATAATTAAATAACTGGAATGTTCCGCGAATTGACTAGATTAAACGAAATGCGTCGCCTATGAGCTCATGCTCGTTGAACTAAATGAGCTGAGCTCGTTAAAACTTGAGAAATTGAGGCTTTTATGCAATTAATCAATTTTTACATAGCTCAGTTCGTTTAGGCTCGAGCTCAACTCATTAATTATAGTAAATGAGCCAAGCTTGGCTTGAGAACAGCCCCAGTGGAGCTCAAAAGTATCACGAGTTCGATTTGGCTATTTTACAAATGTTTGCAAACATTGCAAATGTACAGTGCTTTACTTAATGAGGTCAAGTATTAGGAGTTCAAATTTAGTATCCGACTAACAAATTTACAGCTTCAGATGTTTGTAAACATTGCAAATGTAACATGTTTTATTTAATCGTCTCACGCCAAGTTTCTAAAAACCAGCTAGCGCTCGTCAGCCTAACGCCCAGTTGGCCCCGCTTTTCAGCTTGGGGCTATCCGTCATTCTTACTAGTGTTTTTCTCTGTTTTCAAGACCCAATCGATCATCAAAATGCAAAAGGTACAGAAGGGACTGGTTGATTGATTTTGTGGGAAATATGTTTAATAATTTCAATGTTATCATTGTATCACATGAAATAGATTTAAATATTAAAAAAAAACAATGAATAAAAAAAGGATAAACAAAAAAAGCAAAGAAGATCAAGTTAACGTTTGGTTGATTCTTACTGCATTTCACGAATATACGCTTCACAGTAAAACTTTTGTTAGATAGACAAAGTACCAACATTATTATTTTTCCAATGAGAGGAATAAAGTTCCGACAAAGCACAGGTACAAGCAAATTTATAGAGAAATAATTGCTCACAAAAATCACACTCAACCTTCGACATTATGGAGTAAATGCAATTGTACAACAATTTGCATGGAGTCGTTTATCATAAAAGATGGACGAACCATTACTGACGTCGGACAAGGGAATGCCCGCAAGAACGGATACCATATAAGTTTCAAAGACATGAAGTTCTATAACTGTGTAGATGCTCAAAATTGTTGGAAAAAAAGTAAAAATAATAATAAAAACTTTCCTCGAAATAAGTTCTACTCGTCAGATGAGGGGATAAGATGCAGACCATCAGCTTTAGGATGCCTCCAATGTGTACTTTAAACTTCAGTCCCTCTGCATACAGTCCACTGCATCGGTCAAACAACACATACAGATAAATTCGGTTAATAATTAATCCGAATTGAAAAAGTGAACAGAGAATGTAACAGAGTGAAATGGAGAAAGTAAGTAGTCTTATGTTCTCTTATTGTTAAGAATACTCACACAAAGTATTACAACTACATTTGAAGGACAGTAGACTCAACACATATAGCAAGAACAAATTGAAATATGTACTCCAAATTACAATATGCATGCAGTCGAAGAAAAAAGTGTCAGTTTTTAGCCAACAGAATTTATGGCAAGAATCAAGTAAACTAAAAGGATTACCTTGAAATCATGCAAAATCAATCATCAACCTCGGCTCTGATTTCCTTGACAAGCTCCTCCTTGTATTCTTCAAATGATCCAGGGAAGGCCTCAACGGTTCCATTCTCCACTACCCATATCTCACTCTTCTCTTCATTTTCACAGACACGTGATATGAGCCTAGAATCATGACTGACCAAGACAACTCCTCCAGTGAACTCATCAAGTGCATCTGCCAAGGCATCAATACTCTGCATATCCAAATGATTGGTCGGCTCGTCTAACAGCAGAATATGTGGCTTGGACATGGATATGGAAGTGAAAACCACCCGTGATTTCTGTCCTCCAGACAGCTTTGCAATTGGTGTTAGGTGATTGTGGCTCGGAAGGCCAAACTTGCCAAGCTTTGCCCTAACAGCCTCCTGCTTGCTGAGCCCTTCTTGGTCTGGATGCAGGCGAAGCAGATATTGTACTGGAGTCTCGTCCATCGTTAGTAAATCCACAAAATGTTGCGAGTATCTACCAATCCTTAGCTTCTGACTTCTTCTTACCTCACCCTCAGTCGGTTCTAAATCTCCAGCAAGAAGGTTGAGTAAGGTCGATTTTCCAGCACCGTTGGGCCCAACTATCGCAACACGAGTTCCCATATCAATGCCCACATCCACATTTGAGAGCCTAAAATCTTCTCTGTTAGGGTAACTAAAGCTGACTTCAATCAGCTGCAGAAGTGGCGGCGTCAACTCTGTGGGCTCCGGGAAATGGAACTCCACAGTGTAATCCCGCCATTTTTGTGGGGCCTCTGGCAGGGGCTCATCTTCATCGACCTTGCTTTTACCCTTCTTCTTCGAGGCTTCCTTGGCAGCATTGAACTTGGCTCTGTCCTTGACCTTTTCTTGCTGAGCCCGACTCCCAGACCTCTTGGCAGCTTTTACCTGCTTGTCGTAAATCTCAAACTTCTTATTCATCTCTTTCCGGCGCTGCTCGTACCCAACCTCAAACTCATCGAAATTTCCCCTATAAAGGTGAAGTTTCAAATCATGAAGATGGATAATTTCGTTGCAAACTGTGTTGAGAAAATCCCGGTCATGGGAGACGACCACGAGAGTTTTCTTCCACCTGCACAAGTACTCTTCTAGCCACAGAACAGCCCTGAGGTCAAGATGATTCGTAGGTTCATCCAGAAGCAACAGAGTGGGCTGCACAAAAAGTGCTCTGGCCAATGAAATCCTCATCCTCCATCCTCCACTGAAGGACCGCGTTGGCCGGCCCTGCATGTCTTTAGTAAAACCCAAGCCGGCAAGAATCTTTGAAGCCTGAGCCTCAGCAGCATCCGAACCCATAAGCTGCAACTTCTCATACAGTTCTGAGAGCTTCTCACCCACATCATCCTCATTGTCATCTTCTTCACCACCTGACACATTTGATGCATCCTGCAGGGTCGCAACTTCTTGCCGCAACTTAATGAGTTCTTCATTGGCTGAAACAACTGCTTCTAGTGCCGTCCGGTCATCGCCAACAACTTCTTGCTCGACCAAAAGCACATCAATATTTTTAGGCACAGGTATCTTCCTCCAAGCAAGAAGCTTTAACAGAGTAGACTTACCCTTACCGTTGGGCCCAACAAGCCCATATCTCTTCCCATGTGAAATCTTGACTGATGCATTCTTCAAGAGTTCCTTCCCACGAGCGGAGACAGAGAAGTTATCAATAGTTATATCTTTAACATTGGCATCTGCATCATCTTCACCATCGAGCACAGAAGCCCGACTACCAATTACTACAGTAAATGCATCACGATCATCCCTGAGGGCCTCCTGCTTGGCCAACTCAGCAGCCAACTCAGCAACCACATCCTTTTTTTCTCGTTTCTTCAACTCTTTGTTGCTTACATTTATTTCGAGAGGCTTCGCATCAGTTCTAGTCTGCCGAGTAGGCTGTCTGTGGGCCTCGTTCTGATTTTGCTCTTCCGCAGAGTCCAACACATCCTCATCCTCATCCGAGGAAGGAAGGTCAATTCCATCTATGTAAGACGCGACTTTCGGGGCAGCTTTAGGCTTTGGTTTATTAGAAGCACTTGGTCCTTTCTTAGGCTTTTCGGGTTTGGCATCCATGCTAGCAAGCATTGCAGACACGGAGAGCTTCTCCTTACCACTCTGCTTAGCCTTTGTGCCAGCTGCACTTTCATCAGATTTCTTCTTTCCCATTTTGCAGCCTGGTCATCAGAATTAGAATGTAAGCATTAATTTCTCTCGAAAAAAGAATAGGAAAATAAAACATAGAAACAAATCCAACAGATAAACATGAGAAATGAGGATTTTCAAACTAAAAGCTAATACACGCTATGGTGGGGTGTAGAATTGTCGAGCAGGCCAGCCTGATCTGCCACTACGGGCTGTCCTAAAATTGGCTGGAGCAGGCCTGGCTCATTTTCACTGACATGGAAATGCCTACTATGCAGCCGTGAATGAAGGCCTGAGGGCCAGTCGTGTTTAATAATTAATTCATACTTCTCGCCTTCTCCTATCAATTTTGCTTCAAAGGATATCACAAAAACCATTCACTACTTTTGTCTACTTTAATAATGGCATCACACCATTGTACGGAGAAAAAAGGGGATGGAAAATCTTAATAATGAAAAAATCATCAAACACCTTTGGATTACACACACACACATACACACACACACAAACATCCAAACAAGTTGGGTGTGTGTTGATCCAGCGGCAATAAACCCCGTGAGGACGTAACCAGACGGGTAGGAAGGAACTTTCCCTGGTATAGAAAGAAGGCTGGTGGGCTTAAGAGTTAGTGAATAGTGTATGGTTGGTTCGACCTAAGTTAGGATCATATATTAACAAAACAAAGAGAGATGACAGCCATGTTGTACAAATACTAGATTGCAGAAAGAAAAAAAATATAAATGATTTTCACTAATAAGTGTGACGATTGTTCAAAATCAATATACAGTGAGTTACGGATGATAGAATAGGTCAACCCTACCCAAAGTTACCTCAGCACCTCCAATCAAACAATATCATTGAGCTGGTTCCAATCAGATCAAATCATCCGTTTCTTCCTGAAGCGCACGTTACGGATAACTTAAAAAGTGATTTGTTGGTTAGTATTATGACCTCAGTTAAAAGAGTGATCTTTTTTCAAAATTGAAACAAAATCAATTCAGAACAGTGAAATCAAAGAGCGCCTTCCAATTCAATCTCGCGGCTTCAACAACAGAATACAAAATATTGATCAAATAATAGACGGATGACATAAAATCGATTAACATAACGAGAGAGGCGGGCCAAAAGGTACTAAGAATTCGATCTGCTGTTATAAAAACCCTAAACGCAACAACAAAATAACAAAACTCTCATGAACAAAATCAATACAAAACAGTGAAATCAAAGAGCGCCTTCCAATTCAATCTCGCGGCTTCAACAACAGAATACAAAATATTGATCAAAGAATAGACGGATGACATAAAATCGATTAACATAACGAGAGAGGCGGGCCAAAAGGTACTAATAATTCGATCCGCTGTTATAAAAACCCTAAACGCAACAAAAAAAATAGCAAATCTCTCACGTTTACAGAATTTAAACAGTTCTGATTGATGGATTATAATAAGAATGAACAAAAAATCAAGTGAAATAGCGACTCACCAACTTGTGCGGCTAGGTTTATGAAAAGTTAGGTTTTCCGGGTAACGAGGCGCGGCGAGCTTGGGGAGTGACAATCAATATGAAGTAGGCAGCAGCTGATGGTGGATTTCAGCCTGCAGTGGCGGCCGACGATGCCCGTGGCGGTGGCGAAAGTAGATACAAGCAGAGGGAAGTGAAAGGATTAAGAAAAAAGATTAGAGAAGAAGACGAGAACGGCTTGTATAAATGGCGTTTTCATTTTCTAGTTTCTTCTTCTTTTATTTTTTTATTTGACTTTTCTTTTAATCCGCTTATCCTCTTATATATATAATTCTCGAATGCGTTAAGTCTACGTGACTGTTTTTTGCACTTAGCTTGGATAGATTTTAATTTATTTCCAATCAAAAAATAATTATGTCCGGATTATCCATAAATATGTTGATTATTTATGGTTATATTACATGTATTAATTAATTGTATTTTAATATTATTTCTTATTATAACCATTAAATTGTAAATGTATTTTAAAAATTAATAACTTTTGTAGTTTTTATCAGTTTTCCATGTATAATATATGAAATTAATCATCTCTTGATGAGTTTTGATTTAACATCCATATTGTATGTATAAAAAAATAAATTATATTTATCTTTATAACAATAATGAAATTATTTTTTAATAATAATTAGAAAAATAAAATTAATTATCAATTAATATATTTATATTTCAAGTAGTTATATGATATACGTTATATAAATTATATAATATACCACGTGTAAGTTGCACAAGCAACAAGTGTGGGGGTTACTTCGGAACGAGCACGACACTTGGATCGAAGGGTTTGGGATGAATATTGGTATTGACACGATATCCGGAGCTGAGATTTGGGGTTTGTTTGAAGGTGTCCAACTTGCTTGGGATTTAGGATTCCAACAGGTAATCGCTGAAGTCGATAGCCAATGCGTATTACAAATGATCACTGGACCCCGAACTCATCTTGGAGTCCACGAGGCTTTGGTCATAAGAAGCTTGGCAGATCGGGATTGGAGCATTCGATTTCAACATGTGCATAAGGAAGCTAATTTCGTGGCTGATCATATGGCAATTCTAGCAACTTCTTTCCCGTTAGGACTACAGAGACTTTCATCACCCCCCCGAGGGTTGGAGGCATGGCTTGACCACGACTCACGTGGGGTGGCTCACCCCCGCCGCGTTCTAGCGTAGTTTAGGCATCTGGCCTCCTTCTTTGTACCAAAGAAAAAAAAAAACAAGTGTCATTCTAAAATATATAATAATATATTTTTTTGGTAAAAAAGTAAATAAAATTTAAAATAATTTTTCTAATTAATTTTAAAATTTCAAAATAATTTATTTATTACAAGCACTCGTGTAATACACTGGAGTTGTACTAGTTTAAAATAGACCAATAACACAAGGCTTTTTTGGGTAGCAGGGTATGGCATGTTTGCAAAGCATTATAAGATTAATTTTGTGGTTTGTGGTTCAATATGGGCTCAAGATAAGCTTCAATATGATAACCATTTCTATTATTTGGAAGGTTAGATAAGGTCTAGATAATTATTTGGAATAGTACCACAAAATAAGTTGTGCTTATTTTCTATGTATGAAATTAATCACATGCTAAAATTTCAAAATTACAAAATTTTCCTTATAATTTTAATTTTTTATCGATATTTTACTACTATCGGTTACACTGCTTACTGACAACTCTAGGTTTATATGTTGTTTTCATAAATTATCAGATCTCAAGCTTTACATATCAAACAAGGAGAGAAAAATGTATGAAGAAGAAGAAGAAGACTGCGTATGAAATTGAATGAGAAAAGTGAAGTGTACAGTGATGATGTAGTGTTTATATACTTAGGGTTACAAGGACATTATAGTAAAATTACATAAGGCCTATAGTTGCTATTCCCTAATAGCAACTTTAACATAAAATCTACCCTTACATTATACCTAACACTAATACCCCCCCGCAAGATTTACATATATATTAATCATGTTAAGCTTGGAAACAAGATAAAGGAAAGCAGGACCAGATAAAGCCTTTGTAAGAATGTCTGAGATTTGTTCTTTTGTGTCCACATGGTGAAGCTTTGTCAAACCTTGAGAGACCTTTTCCCTGATAAGGTGACAATCAATCTGTATATGCTTTGTCCGCTCATGGAAGACAGGGTTAGTAGCAATAGCAATAGCAGATTTATTATCACAATAAACAGAAACAAGTGCATTGTGTGGGATTTTCAGATCATCAAGCAAGTATAAAAGCCATTGGATTTCACAAGCTGTAGAGGCTAAAGCTCTGTATTCAGCCTCTGCAGATGATTTACTTATAGTGGCTTGCTTTTTAGATTTCCAAGATATAAGGGAATTTCCCAAAAAAACTGAAAAACCTGTTATGCTTTTTCTGGTATTGACACAGGAAGCCCAATCACTGTCTGAAAAGGCCTGCAGCTGAAGGTTAGAAGTTCTGGAAAACAATATGCCCTTACCAACTGTACCCTTTAAATATCTGAGTATTCTATGTGCAGCATTGAGATGTTGAATAGTGGGTTTTGAAAGAAACTGACTAAGGGTCTGAACACTGTAAGCAATATCAGGTCTAGATATTGTCAAATATAGTAATCTGCCAATCAGTTTTCTATTAGTTGTAGGCTCTGCCAATGGATCATTTTCAGTATAAGCAGAGAGTTTAATGGTTGGATCCATGGGAGTGGTGGCAGGCTTACAACCTAAGAAACCTGTGTCAGTTAGTATATCTAACACATACTTTCTTTGGCACATGTTTATTCCTTGAGTGGAATGGGCAAATTCTAATCCAAGAATATACTTCAATGTGCCTAAGTCTTTAATGGTGAAGCATTTATCAAGATGAGTTTTGATGTTTGAAATATGCAGCAAATTATTACCTGTCACTATGATATCATCAACATAAACCAGTAAGACTGTAAAAGAACAGTCAGTTTGCATAATGAACAGGGAATTATCAGAAACAGACTGCACAAATCCATACTCAATAAGACAGGAAGTTAATTTTGAGAACCATTGTCTAGATGCTTGCTTAAGACCATAAAGACTCTTTATCAGTTTACAGACCCTTGTATCATTTTTCTTGCAATAGCCAGGAGGAGGTTTCATATACACCTCTTCCTCTAAATCCCCATGTAAGAAGGCATTGTTAACATCAAGTTGATGTATGTGTCAATTCTTAATGGAGGCTATTGCAATTAAAAGTCTAACAGTGGTTATTTTAGCAACAAGAGAGAATGTTTCAAAATAATCAATTCCCTCCTCTTGTGTATAACCTTTAGCAACTAATCTTGCTTTATACCTTTCAACACTGCCATCAGACTTATATTTAATTTTAAAAACCCATTTGCACCCTATACAATGTTTGTCTTTAGGCAGAGTTGTTAGGACCCAAGTGTTAGTTTTCTCTAAAGCATCCAATTCTTTTCTCATGGCTTGCTGCCATTGAGGGTCTTTGGATGCTTCAGTGTAACTCTTGGGTTCACTAAGCAATGATATAGATGCAGTAAAAC